TTGCCACCTTGGCACCCCGGCCGATGGATCGACCTTGAAGCCATGGAACCAAGCTCCGCGGCTCTGCGCCATGAAGGCGCCCATTGACCATAGAGGATTGGGCACAGATACGCCGTGGGTCCTCGGGAGGTTCGCGACACCTCCTACGGGCGCAGACCGGTGGGAATGCCTGGGAGCAGGCGATGGTGCTGGAGAATGGTAGGTTCGTGTTCTTAAGAAAAGCAGGGTGAGATCATTCCACCCACTACACCGTGGCACCCCTTTCCAGATTTCGAGGATGTCACCTACCAGAGTGACTGTTGCATTTCATCGAGGATCAACTCGAGAAGCCTGGCGACGGCAAGTCCTGACGGACGATTGGACTACATCGAGGAATTGTGACATTGAGGGTGTCTATGAGTGGACGGGGTATGCCTTCTTCTATGTCCGCTTCGTGGGCGCAATGGAAGGGGTTCAGCTTGATCCCAATTGTGGACTGGCTCCAGGACCGCAGCCTCCTCCGGGAACCATTGAACAGGCCGATCGGGGCTATGGGAACACCTCGTCAACTCGGTCTCGTGCTTTGGAACGGGGTAGGAGTGTGGAACTGCCTGTGAGAGAGAAGACAGTGAAGGGGTCCGCAGTGGCCTATGATGGATCTGCAATCGCTGCTCGTGGCACTACCTCCTCCGATGGTGTCCCAAGCGCTGGCTACATTGAGCGGCTTCAAGGACATCAAGCTCGAGGAGAGACCCACACGGATGAGGTGGAAAGGGCCTGGGAGCATTCTCTTTGCACTGAAGGTCTTCATCCGCCTGAAGCTGACACCTGGCCTGAGTGGATGGGAATTTCGACTGCAGTAGGTCAAAGACCTGAGACGCCGGGCTTAAAGCTTGAAGAAGATTCGCAGTCGGATGGTAGTTTTGAGAAGCTGGCATGACTGGATGCCCTTTGGAATGATGGTACCCCATCATTGGGGGAGTGCGGGCAATGAAAAGCCCATGCCATCCAATGTTTTCGAAAGGACGAAACGCGATGAACATTCCGCGTCGTTCGAACGTTTGGCTCAAGAAAGAGGCGCGTGCATGTGCGCTTCGGTTTTTTCATTTACCCGCTCACAATATCAAAGCTTTTATTTTACTTGCGGACCCCTCTTTGGCCAAGGCTCGACTGGGCTGAGCAGGCTTGGGTGAGCCGCATCCCATGGCCGTGACCGAGATCACCGGTGAAAGGTAGCTGGAACAAACCTCCAATAACAAGATCATATATATCCCTGGGCCTCCAAATACCTTCTGAGAAGGTGTTAGGGGTGGGTGCCAGGAGGGTCCAGTCATACCTTCTGAGGAAGTACTTGCGCTGCTTTGAACAAGTAAAACAATCTTACTTCTTACCCATGCCAGGAGATTTACCCCTGTTCGGAAACATCACCAAGCACCTTATTATAAGCTAAGCAGACTGCTAAGCAGGTATATATTCCAGTCCCATGGATTTCTTAGACCGATCGCAACGAAGCTGAATTCAGGACCCCTCTGAAGGCCAAGACTCGACTGGTCTGAGCAGGCTTGGGTGAGGCGCAGCCCATGGTTGCCAGCCACCGAGATCACCGGTGAAAGGTTGTTGGAACAAACCTCCAATAATAAGATCATATAGGATCCAATTCCAATTCCACCCAGAATGTATCACACAATTGAAAACATTTTGATATATCTTGATGCTGCTCAAATGGGAGCCTCTCTGATCTATGTGATTCTACTAGGTTACTAGGTGGAGGCCATCGCCATTAGGTTGGAGGCCATCGCTACTAAAGGCAAGAAGCTACTTGGGACTCCTGGCCTTACTACTAATAGCATTCTTACCTACTGGGAACAAGAAGCTAGTAAGATCGAAATTCGGAGACCTCAGGGGAAGTCCTCAAGCTTTTCACCTATCGAACGTCTCGAACGCGATTCCTGCTTGGGGGGCCGGGGCTGCTGATGAATCCGTGGGCCAAGCGTCAATCAACACGTCACCAAGAGTCCGTCGATTGCGAGATCGTGAGACTGTGAGTAGCAAGTCTTGCGAATCTGCGGTGCTGAGATCGTGGCCCCTTGGCTGTGAATAGGCCGAGAGGTCAAACATTGGATCTACAACAAGTGTTACCATGTTTTTCTTGATGCATCAACATCGGAGTTCTAGTTCACCAAGAAAGGGGCGACAAAAAGCGCCTTCTAGTGCCAAAAGAAAAAACTATAATCGAGGGACCCCCTAGCTTGGGTGTGGGGTCTACCCCCCACCTGGAGATACCTTATTGAGGGGTCCCTATAAAGTGATCTCCTGGTAAACTGCTACTACCACACTGTCCAAACAGATGAAGAATACTCTCAGAAGCTGCCACTCAAACTTCTACACTGGCGTCCCCTCTTCCATCTCCCTACTCAAGCAATTGCTAACAAGAGTTAGAGATGGCACGCATTGGCACGCGACCGCAGGTAGAATGGCACTGCAACCACTGAATTTTGAAGTGGATTGCTGACTGATCTGAGTATATAATTACATGCCTCACCTCAAAATCTACCAGCAAGGTGCTTACTTCTTGAAATTACGCCTGAACCCCTTTTCACCATGTTTGGAGGACATGGGTCACTCGGGTTACACAATTCAATGAAATTCATGCCATTTGTTCCTGAACCACTGCAATCCCAAAAATGCTTTCAGGGCATAGAATACCTTCTACCTCCTTCTGTCAATGCCTCCGCAAACATTCCATGTATGGCATTTTGCGCCTGCATTGGCCCCTTGTCAACCACCCTAATTCATGTTGATTGGTGAGTACACCAGTCCCAAACACGTCGTGTCTGGCTTTACATCTCCGTCCCCATCGTCCAAAGGTGCCCCATCGTCCTCAACGCTCTCCTGACAACGCGAACAACCACGACCCCTCTGCACCCCGCCTCTCGTGTTTCTGCCCGTTTGGCTGTCAAAACCTCGGACATCCCACGTTCGTTTGAAAAAAGAACACGTAGAACACGACCCGAACCAAAACAAATATACCGCAACCGTGCCACCCATGTTCGGAACCTGAACCGAACAGGTCGAAGACTTGGCTCTTTGACACCTGAGCCCTGGCCCGGCTTGGACCTGTGTGGCGAAGGTGGGTCGAACTCACTGAACCCTCCGATGTGTGCACTGCAGACTGTATAGGTGCCAGCCAGTCGGCTCCAGTCGTACCGAATCGTACGGTGGATCCCCTATACCTGTTGGATGTGATTTGTTGCCCCCCCCAAGAAGCAGCGAGCAGTGCGATGGTTTTGCTTGAACATCGAAGCTGGGTCGATCTGGGACGAACATGAGGGAACTCACGTACATTTGCATGTATAATTGTTTCAGAGTCTGTTTGAAACACATCTGGACGGCTTCTTGCGGCTTCTGCTTGGTTTCGTCGACCCGGACGGGCGTGACGAACGTCCCTTGCGGTACGAGGACGTTCGTAAAGCGGAAGAGGGCCAACGACAGGCTCGGTGATGACTCGACTGGTGCGGAGGTCGAGTCATGGCAGGCAATGCAAAGCACCCCAAAGATGTCCTGATGGCAACTCCCGTGGTCTCCAGATCTGAAACTCTAACACTTGCTTAATCGGCCATGCAGTGCAGTGCAGTCCATCCATTTGGCTGAGGGCCAAAACCCGGACCCTTTAATAAGCCCCGGTAGGTTGCTCTCCCGTTGTAGTCTATTCTGTTCATCTTCGGTGGGAAAAACCATGAAAAACCAGGGTTGCCTGGTTTTGATCCACACCCATTGGGCATGACCAAAACCATTTGGCCATCCAGAAACGATGGCTGGGTCACCACACATCACATTATACTGCAGCATCCCTGGCGTGTGGATCGGCGTGTGTGGCGACAGTTTCAAGCGGGGAAACACGAACCATGAAACGACATGAAAACTGATGAAAACCCTACAGTGGTGGGGCTCATAATGAAGTGTTTCAACACTCAACTGCTTCTTTCAGGACGGCTCACTGGAGCAAGGATGATCGGTGGCTTGCGAACCACGTGATAGCTTCCCAAGTCCATGCAAGTGAAGTGTGATGCAACTTAGACTTAGAGCATTGACAAGCCTTCATCCAAAGAAGCCTCCCAGAGAGTGTTCCTCTCTGTGTCATTCTATTCATCTCAAGCTGTTCGAGCAGCAGACCAGGTCCATTTCAGACTCGGAAGGAAGGCAAGGGTCATTGGTTTGACACCAAACATGTGTGTTTTCACGATCTCAAGCTCCATTCAAGCTCCATATCGCGCTGCTTCTTCACTCGAATTCACACCGCTTCCGCGGAATCCGCTCGTTGAGTACCTGAACGTCCAGCTGCCCCGGGGCCCCAAAAAATACACTGAGCACTGAACACTGAACATCTCTTGGAGGTTAAGGTATGCGGAAACCGCACCAACACCTGAACAGATCGACTACTGTCGCACGGCCTTCCCACTGTCGCCCATTCCTCCAACGGCACCGGGCCTGGCGATGGTCGAAACGAGGTGGAAAGGACATGGGTTTGATGGCCTTTTGAAGGGTCCCCCAGTGATCCAGTGAAAGAGGCATCTCTTGTCACTTGAATCTGGGAGTCGGACTTTGAAGAACCAGCAGAAGTCTGAATATGTAGCCATTGGTAATCACTAGGTGAGCGTGATGATCCTTGGGCCTATAAGGAAATAAAGATATCTAAATACATATATGACCACAACATCCAAGTGTTGTGCCCAATTTGAGGCGAGAAAGGATCTTGAACATCTTTGAAGGGTTGGCAAGAATGAACCGCCAAACAGGTCAGGCACTTGTTACATACCCCTGAGAATCCTTTCTTCTGGGTCTATACATAATGAGCGATTATATATGTTTCCCTGTTGTTGTTGATCAGGGTCATAACACCAAATGTCTTCCTCTACAACAACGTTCCTCCACCACTCTCAGATGGCTGAACCTAACTCTCAACCAACAAACACATGGACCGTTTCCTGCGCACATCAGCATTTTCACTGCTTGTGAAGGAGCAGCACATCAGTGGAATAAGGTATCCGAATCTGATCGTACTCCAGGCTTCCATAGTACCGAACCTCAGAACAGGCAGGTAAAAACCTCCGTCCGTCCGCAGTGCTCGTGTCCCTCGGAAGAGAAGAAGGTGTTTGGGGTGGGTTTAGAGGGTCCAAATACCTTCTGAGGAGGTACTTGGAGCCCTAGGGCCTGCTATGAAACCTGGTAAAACATTGATTGTGAAACACCGATGGTGCTTGGAGACACTATCTGTAGGCAGTGGAAGGTCCAGTGGTATTTGGATCCGGGACAGGCTTCAGGCTGTGTAGGCCGACAGAATACCCAATTAGTTCATGAATTGAATACCCTAAAGTGAACAAGGATCCGAATCCAGGCCCTTGTGGAAGGGGGTCTCCTGTCCGGGTCCCGGTCCGTCCAACGACGTGAGGAGTCGGTACCCTGTCCGTCCAAGTTCCAATCGACACGAGTCCAAGGGCGGTACCTGGAGTTTGGAGTCTCGTTTTTTCTCCCAAAAGGAGTTATAACTTGTCTACTAAGATATTCACAAAGGGGTGCGTGCCTATTGGAGGTTAGGGGTGTCCAGAACATCCACTCACTTGGGGACCAAACACCACCCCTGGCTGTGACTAGTGGTACTAAGATATTCACAGGGTTTTTTCACGTATACCTTTTGTGCAGTAATAGAGTCATGTCACCTTTTCGGTACTTGAAGCGGGTCCGTCAGATTCTAAAAATGGACTCCTCCGGCGAAAAAAAGGCCAGGTGCCTAAGTCTTCTTGCTACTACTAGCGATGCTTTTTGTTGCTAGTGGCTTCTTGTTATATACTATAGTAGCGATGGCCTCCAACCTAATAGCAACGGCCTCCACCTAGTAGCTTCTAGCTGCTAGTAGCTTCCTGCTACTAGTAGTAAGGCCAGGAGCGCCCCTAGTAGCTTCTTGCTACAAGGCTCGATTTGCTCAAAGAGAGTCTTTAGATTCCGATTGGACAATCTCAAAAACCTGCAACCCAAAGACCTGTCTTTTTGGGGGGACCATACAAACGCGATTTGTTGTGGTTTGCACCACTTCTTGTACAAATGCGCTGAATCTGAGTTGATTTTCCTATACATCGCCATTGATGCCCTGACCTGCATCTTGTTGCCACCCTTTGCTCACTCTGTTCTGCCCATTGATCGTATGACGGATCCTGACAACCTACCTCCCCAAAAACGTGTCCTAACGATACGTGTCCATCCTCCGGTTGAAGGAAGGATTTTTCTTCGAAACTTTTGGTTCGCTGCCCCAGAACGTTCCAAACGCACTCGGTGTGACGTGGCTGCCGATGCTTTTTGCCAACGACTTAGTCTCGTTCCCCGGAAGTCTCATTTCCCGTTTGGAAACGATGAATGAATTCATGAAACAAAAAGAACCACCGAAAGATCCAAGTGTTGAAACACGTGGGTGTAGCACATGTGGGGAGACCTGCCTATTAGACACTCTGGAAGAGGGAACATGGACCTGTCTCCCTATTAGAAACACACCCAAGTGTTAAAACCTGTGCCAGGGAAGTTTCGTGAACAAGAAAAACACCGGCCGAGCTTTTAGAGAAGTCTTGCAGCTCAAGAAACCACCAAGTCCTGTGGGGTGAACATGGGCGAAAAACTTCGTGGGTGGAGCATGGTGGAGCTGTTTACCGTTGGGAACGCCTCCCGACATGGTGGTTCACGCCTCAACGCCTCCTGACCTCCCATCTCCTAACTAGACCGAGATTCGTTCGATGTTGGGGGGGGGCTTCCTCTCTTTCGGATCCACTTCCGTAAACAAACAAAAGCTTATTTTTGTGGAAAGAAACACTGGATGGTAATGTTGGAAAAAGAAGAAAACACCAAGAAGGAACCATGGGGAAAAGAGAAGGATTTTCCGGGAGGACCGCCGGTGGTCCTCTCTTGGACCCAACCGTCCCATCCCGAGTGGTGCGACCAAACCGGTGCGGTTAACGGGTCTCGGGGACTGGTCGCCGGGCAAAGCAAGGCGGTGTTTTAAGGCGGTGAAACGAGGAGGAACAAGCTACGGGTAGATCTGGTGATAAAACCTATCAGATACCGGTTTAAACAAGCTTGTATATATGATCTATCTATCTATCTATCTATCTATCTATCTATCTATCTATCT